AATAAAATAAGTCAGAGATGAGTACTTTGGGGACATCAAAGTTTAAAAGGGGTTCAAAAGCCTCAACATATTAGGAGGAAAGGAAGATTGAGGTCAAGGAATGATTTCCAGTCTTGAGGAAGTGGGAAATACTGAGTTTAAGAGTAGGATTCTTGCTTTGCAATGCTTAAAAACATTTAAAATAAAGGTACATTTAATATGTGTTGCTAACTTCAGAACCATTTCTCACAGTAATGGAGAGCCAAAGTTGCACAGTAAGATAATTTATCATTAAGAATTCCTTTGGGCCCTGTTAAGTAAACTAGAACAACAGATCATACACGGATGAACCCACAATCAACAAAGACCCACAACACGATGAGCACCAAATACAATTACAAATGGGAATTGATCCAAATTGGCAGAAAAAATAAATTTAACACTGCCAAAATTCAGAAGACCCTTCAAGAAAAATACTGACTCTCATGCTCTAAAGGATTTTACCAATTCTGTGCATGTGAAATATTATACTATTGGTAAGGAGTCAAAAGTTTACTTTATCTGCATGTTTAAACCTCTGGTATCTATTACTAGAAGAGAATAATTACATCTTCTTTATTGTTAAAGATATTCAGTTTCTTTAATGCGCAATTAACCTGCCTCATTCCTGACGAATGAAATTGTCATTCATTGTTAACCATTATATCAACCCTTTCTCGCTACAATTTTTCATTCCCACAAACAACCATTTTACAGATGGATATTAGACATGATATGATTTCAAGACTGATTCATGTTTTTGCTTTGATTGCCATATTTAGAACCAGCAGAAAAGTTCAATGAGGCAATATCAATAGGATACAAGTTTCAGAGAATAATTCTGCTCAGATAAATTTCCCAGGTGCCACGCATCTATATTCGATCCAACTTCCATTAAACCTATCCTTAATAGGTTCTCCCATTCAGGGATTATTTCTCTGCTTTTTAATTCAAAGCAGGTATTAAAATTCATATATTTTGTACCTGCTGCATGTCACTTTAGGTGTCCAACCTGGCTCAGCTCATATTACTCTTGCCTGTGTTAATATTCTATAACAGTTCTGGGGGATGTTTTGTAAATGTGCTGTCCTCCAGAGGAGACATTTAACCTAGTCTGCTTATTTAGCAATAAAAATCTCACCACCCACCATGGGATTTGTACTGTGTATAAATTAGCTACCACCTTCGCTTCCAAAATACACAGTCTATACATTTTACATTAGTAAACCTTATGAAGCACTTTAAGATGTCCTCCCAACATGAAAGACAGTAAATCAAATGGAAGGATTGTTATTATAAAAAGAAAAAAAGGAAAAATAAAGAACATCTCTAGGTATTCTGGACAACAATCCACCAATCAATTGATCATTCACTAATTTAATAATGTCCAAAGTGCCTTTTGTGCCATTTTGCTGCAAAATCAGTCACTGCACCTGACAATAATTACTGTAAAACACTTCAACATGATAAGGTGCTTATAAAAATGGAAGCAATGCAATGTTTTAAATATTCCAATACCATTTTTTCATTTTTATGTGCATCACGTGTGTCACAAGTATTTATCATTTTTATATATCATTAACTTTATTCCAAGCCATTATTCAAAAATAAGAGAACCTAATAAACATTCATTTTTATTAATTTATCATGTAAACATCCACAACCTCGGCAGTGTATCGTTCTTGTAATTGCACTTTAGAAATATTTAGAAAGCAAACATTCTGACATTCCAACTGCAAATATACCGTGCAAAGCAATTTATCACGTATCCTTAAACGTGCAATCGCAAACAATCTGATAAATTCTTTAAACGCCACTTCACTTTCTCAGTTGCTTCAGTAAGCCACTTTGTATGATGTTTTTTGCTCTCTTGTGTAAATCGGCTTTGATGCTCTCTGTTGGTGCTTTTCTATGTAGCTGTGCTCAGCTGTTATCAGTCCATAAGCAATGCCTTGAGTTCCTCTTTACACGGCATGTCCAGTGGCTGCAGCAGATCAGAGCATCAAAGGTAAATTTGTTCTCATAAGAGTTTTGAAACACTCTGCATTGCCTTGGTTCTGAATAAGTACAAGATTAGTATAGTGGGTAAATCCTTTGGTAGTCTTTGAGATGCTTTAATGTTCTTGATGTTGCTGATGTAATAGTACTCAGTGCTCTCTGCATTGTCGTTTTCAATGAGGCAGAAAGGGTTTAAAGTAAATGGGTTCACAATTCCAAAACCGATATTTCCACTGAGCTGCCCCAACCTACTCAGCTCCACTCAACATTGCATGAAATACTGGAGGGTAGATTCAATTTATGATAATAATCCTTGCATTTGATATAGCGTCTTATGTCACAAAGCTCTGCACAAAATATACTGCAAATTGAATTGTCTGTATATTTTGTGGACGAAATGCAGCAGCCAATTTCGCATTACAGGGTCCCACAAACAGTCGTGGATTGAGTGACCAAATTATTATTATTATTTTTTGAAGGGATTGTTACCCCGGAAAAGCAATCCGCCAATCGACTAACAGACGGATTTGGAATTGCTACTAAGTAAACAGCGGCGTGTGGAGTAAGGAAACTTGCCTAAAGATTTGTCCTGTCGTGAAACGAACCCAGGTCCTCTCGCTTGCAAGACGAGTGCTCTAACCACTGAGCTACAGGACTCCACATTTTAGGCTTCTCAGCGTGAGCATTTAACTTTGCAACATGCTCTGAACTTCTGGGTATCCTGTGCACTCCTTAGGTATGTTTCAAGCATGTGAGGTTTAACATACCCAGCTTTAATTAAAAAAGCCAGCTTCACGTGCAACTTCAGGGTCATCAGATTGCTGATGACATCACTTTCTGATCGTCACATGCTTGAATAATATGTGCAGAAAGTGTTATTCCTGGTTTGCTGCACGTGCATCATGCACAAAAAGTGATACAGTAAATCTACATGCATTAAGTCTTCTCTTTATAAACAGTACAATAGCCTCCATTCAGTGTCCTATCAAAATCACTTAGATTTCTTCGCCCTGTTATGATCTCCTAACTCATAACGCTGCTCCCTTATCCTCCAATCCTCCCGCACTAACCTGCTGCATTGAATTGCAGGAAATTATGTCCTGACCCGTCGGCTGCATTGAATCGCGGGAAACGCATTGATATGTCGACGCAGGCGCAGAAGAACTTCAGTTTGCACATGCGGAGTGGATGGGGTCCATAGGGCAACCGCGTTATAACCAAATTTATGCTATAAAGAAATACAATGTACCACATTATATAATGTCCAGTAGCTCATCGTGTAAGAGGTAGGATCTCAGAACTTCTTTCTGTGTTTTTGGCGACTGCTGACGCTGGTTTATTTTGCCCTGCACTCGACAATTAAAGAGTTGACTCTGGAACCAGAACCTGTTTGCCACCTGGTTCTTAGTGCAAAAAGGGGCTGATAAAGTACAAATAGTGGCACTTAACATCCAAACCATGAGGTTCAACGGCACGGGCAATTCGCCCAAAAATGACAGGACGATAATACAGAATTAGCCTCCTGCAGCACTTTGTGCACCTGCCATGAATTGGTCATCACTTGCTTCATACTGAATGTACTCCTGGCGCATCGATTATTCTGATTTAATATTTTCCACACTACCATTCAGTACCATTTTAAAGCTTCAGAATAGCTCAGCAGGAATACATCACCCCTGTCTAAATGCAGAACAAATAATTTCCGCACATGAAAATATAACTTGTTTGCCCTATTGTAGCACTAAAGATTAAGAGTCTGACTGCTCAAGTGAGAAGGTTAATTGCAGTTATGAATAAGGAAAGTAATTGATCAAGGCATTCATTTGTCACTTTTTGAAGAATGGGATCTTATTAGCTGTGTTTTGTTTCTCCACAACACAATGAATGAGATCATAAAGTATTTCTGTCCATTTACTGCACTGCTGTAATCACCCTTGTGTAATAGTGAGCCTGCTCCAACCAATATTAATCACATCCGTGAAATTAATTAATGTAACACAGTTAATCTCCTTTGTTTCCAACAGGCCAGGCAAATCATTCAGCTGATTTTCAGCCTCTATACTACCTTCAGGCTGCAAATTACATGGATATTTTGAACATTAATTTTCACAGTAAGTTAAAATTCACCACTAGACATAGGGTGCATGCTTACAGAGAAACAAAAGCAGACCAATGCTTCTAAATGAAAGTGATAAAAGCTATTGAATTTTTGGTGTTTTGCACTTTGAAGTAGTACCCAGTCAAAAAGGTAAGTTTTTTGGTAGAATTTAATGTCAGCCAGAGAGAGGCTGAGATGGAGCAGTGGTCGACGGAGGGGGTGACAGAGTGTAGTAGCTGATGATGGGGTGGAGAGGGTGGGGCACGTGCAAAAGAAATAGGCCTGAGTGAGCCAAGCAGAGTGGGGAGCTCAAACAGAGAGGTGCTAGGGCGAGGGTAAGGACCTTGAAGTTGATCAGTGGGGAACTGGTTGAGCTTGACAAGGACTGGGGTGATTGACATGTAGAGTTTGGTGCCGGTGAGAATGTGGATGGCGGAGAGGGAGGGAGAGAGGGAAGGAAAGAAGGAATGAAGGGCTGAGGATCTAACCAAATTTCAAGGTTTTGCATTGGCTTGATGAGGTTAGTAGAGGGACCTGGGAGGAATCACATTAACATCTGGATTACGTTTAGTGACATATAGTAGGTGACAAATCCCTGGAGTACTAGAAGAAAACTCTCCCACCCACACTCACCCAGCATGACACCTTTCTCAATGGTCAAATCAAGAAACTGACCATGCATTAGACCTCCACCTCACTGATCTGTTAAACAGGATTTACTCTGAATTTTGCTCGATTTTTTAAAATGAGAAATATTCATGTTTGAACAGAAATGTATTTATTGTTGGAATGCAAAGATATTTATTTGCAAACCATACCTCCGAAGGTCAAGACTTTCAATTGGCTATCAGCTTCAGAGTCCAAACAATAAAAGACAAGTACTTACTGAACTAGGGCTGGAATGTCGCCTCAATTTTGGGGACTCTTTGCCAGCCGATGAGCTCTTGAAGTTAATGCACGCATTGTTCTCAGAATGGACTCTCTTTACTTGACTCACTGGTTTCTCAAATGGATCGAAACTGCTCTGCGTTCTTTGAACTCTGACTTTCTTGTCCTCGGGAATGGTGTCCAGGGGTTTGATAACTGAATCCACGACCTGAGAGTTCCGTGTAGACATCTTTGCGACGCATATCTGCAGAAAGAACACAATGCTTTCAGCGTGTGCAACTACGCCTGCACTATCTTTCTAGGTTTAATTAGCTTTATTTGTACTTACTGTCCAGTCCATCATGAAACAGAGGATCAGTGGCTGACTTTGAAACAATCAACTGTTATCAACACTCTGTAACTGCTAAAACTTTTAACACTCTTCTCATGAGTCCCGGTCAGTGTAAAATCATTATAAATTATATAATAGGCTACTGGTGTGCAACTGGTTTCCATTACTCGTTTGGAATGCTGATCTAAATCATGCTTTAATGAGCCAAGACCTACTGTGTCGGTATTACAACCAAATAGAGAACATGGACCAAAGCTCCAAGTCTCTTTGAATAAGAAGGATTCCAGTTTCAATTGTTAATATTTAAAAATGCTGTTAAACCATGCATAATTCAAGCAGTTTGGTGGATCAACTGCAACAGGTAATGTAACATTCAGCTATTCAGGTTATGCAGCTCCGCTGATTTGATGACCAGAAAACATCTACAATACAATGTTGATCTCACCCGATAAGAACGACATCCTAAATTAATTACTGCTGCTACCCAGAATTGTTTTGCTTTTTCAATATAACTATTGGGTTAGTAATCTCATTAAAACAGTTATTAATTACAGACACAATGAGTGACCCGAAGTGCTGCAGCAAAAAACTTGTCCGAGATTCATCACTGAGATAAGAATTCTGTTCCATGTTACCTTAATTTTAAGCCAATGGTTTCAAGGCTAAGACCAAAAGATTTTCAGCTTTTGAGAAGTCATGAAATGTCAACAGGACACTGCCTTGAGGAGGAGAATCAAACTGGAGTCAGCTACTCTTGCCCCCCTCCCCCACCCCCCCACTCAATTGGTAGTCATAGACAGAGAACATTGACATTTTGCCCACAAATATATAGTCAATTCACTTTACAGTATATTCTGTGAAGCGCTTTGAAACGTCTTGAAGATGTGAAAAGCGCTATATCAAATCCAAGGATTATTATTATTATTGTTTAAAACACACTTGTTGCCAATCCTCTTGGTTCAGGACGGACCAGGGAAGAAGATGCACAAATATATTTAAAAATTAACCTGACATTCATAATTCCATAACCTCTGAGATGTTGTCAGATTTAGTTTGTTGCAGATGACAATTTAATTGCCAGTATGATTTTCCAACTGACTTGCAGCAGTGACAGTAATTCTCTCAGAACTTGAATGTTCTTTGTGATATATTCTAGAACCATAGAAATTTACAGCACAGAAGAAGGCCATTTAGCTTTTGTGTGTGCTGAGGGTGGTGGTGAAAGAAAACTCAGCCTTCTTGCCTAAGCTGGCTTCTATTTAATAAAATAATCTTTGCATTTGACATGGTGCCTTATCACATTGTCAAGACATCTCAAAGTGTTTCACAGGAATTTACTATGAAATGTACTGACACTTTTAGAAGTGAATTTGTAAGCAAGCGATTTACATTGATTCTGTTGATATGCTCACTCTCCCTTTTCAACCTTACATAGAATATACAGCACAGAAACAGGCCATTCGACCCAACTGGTCTATGCCGGTGTTTATGCTCCACATGAGCCTCCTCCTGCCCTTCCTCAACTAAGCCTTTGAGCAGAGCCTTTAATCCTTTCTCCCTCATGTACTTATCTAGCTTCCCCTTAAATGCATCTGTGCTATTTACCTCAACTACTCCTTGTGGTAGTAAGTTCCACATTCCCAACACTCTCCGGGTAAACACGTTTCTTCTGACTTCCCCATTTGATTTAACAGTGACTATTTTATATTGATGGCCCCTGGTTTTGGTCTCCCCCATAAGTGGAAACATCTTCTCTATGTCTATGCTATCAAACCTTTTCAGAATTTGGAAGACCTCTATTAGGTCGCCCTTCTCTTTCCAAGAGGAGAGTCCAAGCCTTTCCTGATAGGTATAACTTTGCAGTTCTGGTATCATCCTCCAATACGTTATCTTTCTTTCCTCTTCCAAAATTCCCTGCTATTTTCTAGGCTTTCTCCACCACTCCTAAATGAGGTTACCCATGCAGGACTCTGGTTCCATGGGTGCCAACAGCTTCCCAGTAGCTCAGCCAAGTTATTGTTTATTCTTTTTTGCGTCTGTCAGAATCCCATCTCCATACTTAAAAGCATCCAAAACAGAGAGTTCCATATATGCCAACAACATACATTTTTCCACGTTCTACTTATGTGGGCAGCGATAACTGTAATGAATCCACTGCTTCACTGGCTAAATTCAATGGACTCAGTACAGATCATGTGCACCAACCCTGGGATATTCCTGGCAAGCCTATTTCATTGTCACTGTTACTGTAAAGATTGATGGTTCAGGAGGCTCCCTTTCCTGTAATGTTGATATAATGACTCAGTTGTACTCCAGGCATTATACTTAACTGTTGCCTGCAGTCGAGTAGTGCAAGGCACAGCCTGATTGATATTGCCATCACGTAATTGTACTCTTGTTGAGCAGCCAAATCAAAGTGGAACTCTGCGCGTATATCTGTGCAGTCAGTTGCAAGTAAACTCTTTCAAAATAATGTCCGAAAATTTTGATTTTAATGAACTGTTTCGTCCCTTATGGTCATTATTAAATCTGAAGGACAGAGCAACAGACACTCTCAAACTTGCTGAGCTTTAAATTCTGACACTTATGAAATTTATCTTGGATCAGTTGAGGTTCAGTACAGTCAGTATAAAGTATAGTGCAGCATAGCACTGCACTATCTCTTCTGGGTGATCTCAAGTTTCTTCTCTAAACCCACATCAGGCTGCTAAAACTGCATTGCATTGCAGAGTCTGTACCAGTTCAACACAAAACTCAGTCTGAACCAATACAGCATAGCTTGCCCACAAGGATCATTCATGAGTAACTACTGAGGCTGCAAAACAAGAGATCATGCTTGTGGTTCACTTGAAGTTGACATTCATAGTTTACTGTTGGACTGGATCCGAAAGCACCTCAGGATAACTGTCCCATTGCTCTCATTTCACAGTAACTGTGAGTTTCCAGAGCTCTGAATTGATGGTGAATAAAGATGTCCCTTTGCACGACACTAGTACTGTGTATTTTTTTTACTGGCCATCTCCTGTGAGAGGTGGCTGGAATCACAGTTGCACTGGATCAAGACTGCACATAGTGACTGCACATCATTTAGTTCTGCACACTGTTTGACAGTGGTGGCCAATTAGATCTGATTTTCACTCCTGGAGGACCAAATAAATGTTCAATCCCCACTTTTCCACAATAATTGTCACCTAATGTGTAAATGGCACAACACTTAAATAGATCAATATTTAAAGCATGAGCTTCCTGGTAATACAAACTACAGTACTCCCATTGGGAAACATCTGGTACTTGGTGGTGGTGGTACACTTGCTGCACAGCCACTGAAATATCCAGCACTTAAACAGCGGCCTGCTTCATGTCCCCTGTCCTAACTGTCCCACGATTGGTGAGAGAGATTTTATTCTTTCTGTCTTCTCTCTCTAGAATTTCATTTCAGAGATAATCTGACTTCAACTTTTCGCACTCCACTTTTCAACCATGCTTTCAGTTATCTTCTCGCCCCCACCCCGTCCCCTGTATGTGCTATGCAACCTGTAATTTACACCATTTTTACACCATGATCAAAAGAAACGTGTAAAATAACTTGATCCAAATGTTTGGATCAATTCCTCCCATTTATTCAGGTTAAACATTACTCTAAATTTGCCCTGCCCACATTAATTTTACACCAAAGAAGCGTAGATGCTATTTCATTTATATTTGGCCAGCCAGGTGTGCAACATACAGACAACTCCCTTGCTCTGCTTGAGTCTCCAATCCCAGCCATAGAGAGATCTACAAAAGTAGAGCTTTGAATGCCAGTTCAGGAGAGTGCACCCTTTACTCCCTTTAGAAGAAAAATAGGGCACAAGTTGATGGATGAAAAGGGAAATTTCAGGGCAGACACTTGGAAGCATTTCTTTAGGCAGAGGGTAATTAATGACTGTAATGAGCAAGTGGGCGTTGAGACCAGAATAATGGACTGGAGGACAGTCAGATGGGTATTCCAGAAGGAGATCAAATGAAGGAGAATTCTTAATCCAAACCTTTCATGATCCTCCAATAACATACTGTTTCCCAAGCAGAATCTTATCCAACTCTTTCTGAAAAGAGTTAAAAGTATCATTGTTTTTGTTGAGAGTGCATGTGAAGTTCTCCAATAGATGAAGAGAGATGGTCAGCCTTGTGAGTATGATCCCCTCATTAGAACTGGAGAAAGATGAGTACTATGAAATGACAAACACCACAACATTGAATCACTCTCTCTCTCTGAGATGCTGGCCTGCTGCATATCTTCAGCATTCAGAAGTTTTTCTTGTATATCTATATAATTCAACAGACTCCTATTTGTGTGGTACTAAAGCCAAAAAAATCCGTAAAGTCTTAGTCTTATCATCTTAAAACTTACAAATCCTTTGGCTCTATTCAAAAAGATAGGAAATTTCTCCTGATACGATTGGTCATTCGTTTAGTGGCTGTTTGGGGGATTATTGTTTATTGGACATTGCTGAATGCAAATTGGCTGCCACATTTGCCTACAAAATACAGTCACTGCAGTTTACAGTAAATCCTGTGAATTGCTTTGAGAGGTCTTCCCAACATGAAAGACATGATATCAATTGTTAGGATTATAATTTAAGATTGTGCAAATATAGTTTTGAGAATTGAGGAAAAACAGCTTTCAAATCGAGGATGAATTTAATAACCTTTCATAATTGTACACAGTCTTAACTTTAAGACAGTCATTCATCTTAATGCTACGTCTGATTAATTTAGAGTCTGTGCTTTTCACAACTGATGTGGAAACATTATGTTGGTAGACTTCTGGGGCTGGAATGAAGGAAATGTAGAGCAAGATTCACACTGATATTACTCGCTCTGCAAAAAAAAAGTTAAGTTTTAAAAAAAACACACAGAAGTCCAAATTTAAA